TGGTCGAAACGCGTGATTTGTCCAGTGTGTTGCTTCGTCGAAGTACGCTTGACACTTTTCTCGGATCACATTGGGTGCTTATTTTGGTGTGAAAATAATTGAACCGTGATTAAAAATTCATGATTTTAGAAAGATTTCTCGTGGAACACTAGCGGTAATCAGGACTGGATTCAGATTTTTGAGGCCCTAGGGCTGAAGCCCTCCTTGGACCTCCCCTTAATTTGACGCTGACGATAGGGAACTTTTATCATATTCTTATCATTTCATAAACCATGTTCATTTTTTATTTCTCTTTCGCTGGAATCACTAATAATCCCCATTTTAACTCGTGTCAATAATTCAAGGAGACGTGTATTTTATCAGTACCCCGACACACATATCTTCTCCTATTCTATCTGGATAAAAGGATTCGGTTTCTCGTGCTATAAGGTACACAGAAATATTCCTTTATAGAGAGAGACACGCGTGCGTTTTACCTTCAGTTCTAGGAATCACCGAGATTCCTATCGATCCACGAACAATTTCGTTCTTCGTGAATATGGAAGAATACGCGATAGCGCCCATCGATTTCCATTTTTCATCCGTTTAAAGAGTTTATTCATGAATTCGATTGAATCAACGGAATTTGTATTTCAATTGCTACCGAAAAATTGTCGAACTTTGTTCCATCGTTTCGGAGCATCTTTCGATTTCCTAACAATTCCTTGAATATTAACCAGTTGGATATTCAGAAGCACTCGCAATTAACCGGCCAATTTCTTCGAAATTGGTCGGTGCTTTATTTTTTCTCTCTTAAGGAATATATATTCAAAATATCGTTGGAAGTAGAATCCCAGCGGAAAGGCAATCCCATTTACCACCCTCGTTCGTTTCTCGAGCTGTTCGAGTCAGCAGTAAATGGATCGTAGAATTAATTGGCCTTCGCGAAACGACACGAGGCTGGCCAGCTCGTGTTGCCCGCTTGAAATCGTTCTCCTGTCAGCGTGTCACGGTTTTCTTGGCCGCCAATATTTCATATCCCGCCGGTGGATCTCGCAACCCCACCGTTGTTCGTACTCTCGATCGTATCTACGTCAGCTGGAGATACACTCGAAATAGATGAACTCTTGGCCTAGATCTTTACGGGTCCGTCGTTTCGATGAAAACGATCGAATCGTGCCCTCTAAGAATTTCCAGATACTCGTACACACGTTGGCATCCGCGCTTTTCATTCTCCCTTTCCCTCTCGCCTTCCACATCGCGGCCACCATTTTTGGACACTGGCCCACGGGTATATCGACAGTCGCAATCCAGCGAATTTCAGACGCTTTCAAACCATTCCAGCCATCTCGCCACATGGCCGCCTTTCTTTTTACGGAAATGTCCGATAAACGTCTGCGGGCGAGGTTTTCCGGTTCATTCGTCATCCCTCTGACAGCGCTCCGATTTCGTCCTTTACCACTCCTACTCTCAAAGTTGCACCACCAACGAGCTTCTATTGTTCGAGGATTTCTATCAGCTTCGATATACCATTTTTCTAATCGCGGAGAAAAGTGTAAACCAGATCCGGACAGGAAATTGTACGAGTCGAGGCTGCTGTCTCCGGTCAAAGCGAGAGGCAACAAGTCCTAAAAGTAATAATTGCAATTCTAAAAATAGAAATATTTATGATCGCTAAATTAATTAGAATATTGCAAACGTATTTTCTTTCGAATAAAATGCTAAGAAGCATTCCCTTAAAGTTATCGACCTTCTCGAGAACGATTTGCCTTCTTCTCTGAAGAATAATTTAAAACTCCCAATTCATGATTGTATTACGTATTCAATGATTCCACTATCAATGTCATATTGCATATTCCTCGATTTCCAGCGGAATTTTGTATTTTATCAGTTAATCGAATCAAGAGACATGAAAATTCGCTATCATAGGATTCGCTCTGCGTGGAACATCTTGGAGAAAGTTAAAGAATTCTGAAAAGCTTCTGGCGATTTTGTGTTATTTTTATAGGTTCTATCGTTTCTTGAGAATCCCATAATCCAGTGTCGAACGATACTCGCAACCAACCAGTTTTGACCACACTATTTCTAGTTCGCCACGCAAAGGGAAAAAGATATGAAGTCACGTAAATCGTCACGCGATAGAGAAACACGGCGAATATTCCTCTGTAGCTGCAGTAGCTCGAAACTTCCGGCCAGAACCCGATAGAGACAAGCCACACCATTAAGCGACGTGATACCCCATACAAATCACGTCGATCCGCGATTTATGGTTCGTTCACCCTCTCACGCTATCGCGTTATCAGTCCCGTCGGTTACAATTCCTGGAACGAGATTCCACCATGAGAACTCTCTATTTTCACGCTTTTCCAGCGTGATTTTTTTCTTCTGCAAAATTCGAAGCATTCGAACCTTTATGGGGTTTCGTGCTATTAATGCTGTCGCGTTGTATTTCTAATTTATAGAATTAGCACACTTATTTCTTAAGGGTTGTGACAATGCATTGTTTTTAAAATTAAATTACTAAAGTTTTGTCTGTTTTCTAGCTTCTAAAATTTATAAAATTTCATAATACAATTTTTGCACGGTTACCTATTATGCTTAATAGGATCCGAACAGGTTCGTTCTTTGAATTAATAATGTATTCGATCCGCTACCTCGAGAAATCTGTTTAAATCGTCTCTTTCGATCCCCATAAGGCTGGCAATATTTCATTTAGCCCCCATAGTCTCGCTATCTATTTATCGCCTAAGCTCGGTATTCACAGAACCACTAACCTAATTAACCTGGAGCTGGCTTTAGCAATGTATCGTAATGTTTTATGTTACGTAGAAACTTTCAGCTACATACTCTCATCGATCTTTTCTTTCATGTATATTTCACACTTTCTACGCTTGCTTTGAAAAGATCTCCAGTATACGGGTTATCCCACAGAAATAGATAACCGAAAGAGCGTATACATAGATTTTCTGCGAAGATGCCTAAGTTAAAATAAGTAATATAAGCATGGATTTGTAAATGTTTCTTTTTCAAATTCTTTACAAATTCTGGTTTACGATGGAACATTTAATTATAGTATTTATTTAGATGATAATCAGTTACATGCACGATTTTTTGAAGTTAATTGATTCAATTCTTGTTTGATATTTAGAAACTTCTGTCGAATAGTTTGATTTAGATATTGAGATTTAATGAGATTTTGATTTAAACTCTTTTTAATAGTTTCTTTAGCACGTTCACTGCCATGGTGAAAATGCTCATTAAGACTATGATTATTTCATTTTCTAATACATAGGATGTTCAGGATAATGCTAGTTATGATTTTTCAAACTCTTTGTATAGTGTAGGTTACTCAATTCGATCAGTATATATATATTTTTTTTCTTCTGTTTTATTCACCCTTTGAAAATATTAAGTATATGAAAAAACAATTTAATTCCATTAAATTTGTAATTCCGTTAATTAATGACCCACGTAGCAGTGAATATGTTAATCAAACATTTGTGCATCATTCTGTCGTAAACAGAAAGTATTTGATCTTGAAAAGGTATTTTCAGATTCACAAGATACGCTTGAAAATTTTGGTCAGCTATTTCTGAAACTTCTATTGTCCCTATTTATTTTTCAATCCTCCTCGATCCTTGCAAAATTCACTCGGATTTCGAATCAACGACTCGGGTCGTTTCATCGTCATTGCATATACAGGTCCGACTGGAGTTCGTTGAATGTTATTCCCATTTTCACCGGCCGTCTTTTCTTCGTGTCCTGTTTATTCTCTCCGTTTCCCGTGACGTTCTTTCCGCGACGATGTGCCATTTTCGATGGACGGCCTTTGCGTTCACGACACGACTTTATCCCATTTACAGGGATCCTTTGTGCGATATTTTTTCTTTGATTGCAGACGCTAAGTGCTCGCGCAACGTCGCGTTTATTTCGTGGAAAAGCGAGCCTCGGGAACAGAGAAAAAAAAAAAAGAAGAAAAATCACGGAAAGCGTGACGTCAAAACGTTCGTGTATTCACGGAAAATACAAAACAGCACAGACGGTTCTCTGTTCTGTCGATTTCAAAGAATCTCACGATTTTTCGTCGACCATTTCTGCAAAGCTGCGAATGCGATGAAAATTCTGATTATTTTTCCTTTTGGAACTTTGCCGAACGAATTTCGAATAAAAATATAGTCTCGTCGAACAATCTGCATTGACTAACGCGTGACAGTTGAATCGATAAAATCGATCGGATAGTTTCGTTTTGTTGTTATATGAACGTTTATCGAAAAATTCATTGGATTCGAAACTTCCTCTGATTTGTTGAGTTTCACTCAGTTTTTATTTGAAACGATTTCCGGGAAAATTGAAATATTGGATAGGAATATGAAATCATATGATCTAATATTACTTCTTACCATACAAATGAATATAAATTCATGCTCAATAATTAGTTTAATTAATGAACTGAGATACTTTATTAGAGAACGGATCATAATTAAATTATGAAATCATATGATCTAATATTACTTCTTACCATACAAATAAATATAAATTCATGCTCAATAATTAGTTTAATTAATGAACTGAGATACTTTATTAGAGAACGGATCATAATTAAATTGTAATTTTGAAGGATTCTATGCTCGAAACAATTAATTGTTTCGTATAAACGAAATTTATTTCATTTGATGTTATATTTCAAAGATAATTAATTGATACTTTATTAATTAGATAAATTATAAATTCTGTATATATTAATTTCCTTAAATTTCAATCTAACGGAAATTTCTCCATATGGTTCCATATTTCGACCCAATGATGCGAAGTGAACTTGAAATGACACCTGAAATATTTTTTTGTAAGCAACTTCATTCTTCAGGAAGCAAAGATGACGAATTCATCGTGTCAGCATTATTTTTAATTCATCAGCATCGTTATAATTTTTTTTTTAGTTCATTCACTAGTCACAATTCGTCCCCGTTTTTGTTTTTTTCCCCACATTCTCAGCTCTCTTCTTGTTCTTTTATCAATGTCAGGAGTGCCGGCAGTGTACTACCACGGAACCGGAAGTGAGAACGCAAGCCGCGCGTATACGGAGACACCGATGCAACACGTCCAACGGGCTGCACTCCGGAAGAAATGTATGAAGTCGACATTCACTTTGGACTGGAAACACGCATCACGCCATCTTCTTCCTTTCTATCTGTTTTTCCGTTATTTTCTTCAATTTTCTTCGCGCCATATCTGTCTCTTCTTTCATTCTGTTTCTGTTCAGTTATTCAACATTGCCCATCGTTGATTGAACAGCACCGCGTTACGCGAATTCGTTCAACCCTGAAAAACTGCTCTTTCGTCTCACTGATCCGCGGTTCGAACGAGAAACACTGCTCGTTGTTCGACAACCGTAGGCTCTAAATATTTGACGCGTTCGCGATATTCCGCAGCAGCGGAAGCGCAGCCTCGAGGAATCCTCGTGTAAACATCGCGCCACGTAACAAACGGAGGAGACAAATCCCTGTAATCGACTCGATGGACAGCATCGACCCCGTTTTCGAACGTTTCGCACAGCCGCGTGCATTCGTAACAGAGAGTAACGACGATCATCGTGCCTACATCGCGAGCAAAAAAATGGGGCTAACAGACGAACGAATAAAAGAAAGGAGAGAGCGTTTAATCCGTGGATCGGAAATGAGTAACGAGGCAGCTGGGGGAAACGGGGGCTCCTCTCGATCATCGGCACAATGTACACCGAGGATCTACGATCCTGACAAAGCAACACACACGGAAAAATCACGTCTTTGTCGTCTTCCTTTCGGCCGTCACTTTGACGTCGCTCGAGTGTGTGTGTGTGTTTATATATTATTTTTCTCTCTCTCTTTGCCTCCTTTAATCAGCAACGACAGTACCTTCACCGAGCGGCGGTAAACGAGAATAAAAAAAAAAAAAAGAAAAGAAAAGAAACGTAGCGAACGAAGCGCTCGCACAACGCGTCTACGATCCAAGCGCGGAGCAGTTGTGATCAGAGTTTTATGTTTCAGTGGATCTAACGAACGGACAGCTCACCCCCAACAACAACACGCCCTTGCTCACGCAAGCACTTTCTGGTACGTCTAAAAGTTTTCCTTTCTTTTCGGCTTCGATCCTACCGCTTTCTTCTTAATTTGTCTCGCATCTTAAAGAGTGTCTCAGGTCTCTGTATACAATATGTACATGCGATATATACATAGGTACAGTCTGTTACTTAAGAGATAAACGTTTATAATATTTTCCTTTTATCTAGAATATAAAAAGATAGGGCGACTACGCTCTTATTGTAACAGACTGTACAGTACCGAGCATGGTGGGCTTCTTTAGGGAAAATGAGGATGTAGGAAACGGAGCTTTCATCACTCGTGTTTCAATTTTATTATTGATACTTCTACTATTTAATAATTGCAAATTGTATTAATTTTTTTCAAATTAATTTTAGTACCTTCAAACTTAGTTTTTAATATTTTTATGTGTAGGATTTAATAATCTTGAATATCATAGCGAGTTATGGAGGTTTTCCTCAGGAAAATCAACCATGCTCGGTACCGTAACACATATACACGTCAGAATGCACGGCCAATAGGTTCGCTGGGAACGTCGCACGGTTTCCGATTCTTGATAGCTTTTCATTATCGTGTCACGCGATACAGCGAAAGCAGTATAACAACAAGAACGAGTGTGTATGTGTGTGTATGTGAGAGAGAGAAATGATGATGGTTCGTCTTCTTACCAAGGCCTCCGTGAATGTTAGATCGAGACGTAACGATATAACCAAACACGGAATCCGGCATTACCCTAGTGCAACGGTACTGAAACTCATGTAATTCAATCCTCTTTCGTGATAGGATTCTCAAGCTTTAATAGAAACAAGCTTTGCATTACGCCGTAATGACAAATTGCAAGCCTTGCTTCGGCTCTTCCGTACACTTTGAGTGGTGAACGCGCTTCGAACCATGACTCGTCCATGTTCATGGAACTTCGCAAAGGTTAGCTCTGGATATGATTACCCTGGTCGAACGATATTTTGCTCCAAGGAACCTGGTACTGATTCTTCGATTGCTTTGAGAAATAACCTAAAATGGCAGAGGGCAATAGGAATCACGTTTAATTCGTTCGCTTTTTCAATTTCTTCCTGGATAGCTTGGAATCTGCAGAATTTTAACGGATTGGAGAAGAATATAATAATATTAAAATATTATTTATTTTTATCGTAGACCTGTGTCAAAAAACCAAGCTTCTTAAACATTGTTTCTATAAAACAATCCAACAGTTCGTGCTAATTTTTCCAAACTAGCCAGATTTCGTTTTTCAACGCATCTTGTAAAGATTCTCGCAAAGGTAAAGGGTGAAATGTGAAGCAATTCATAGAGCATGGAAGAAAAGACGGCACCGATTCCGTTGCAACCCTTTTATTTTTTTCTTGCTCTGGTCTGATCCAATCCCGTCCCCGTGCCGTTCGCAATCTCCTTTCAAATAAATCAAACTTTTGAATCGCGCTTGCCCCCGCCTCCATCGACGAACCGGCGGAAGTAACCGGGTGCCATTGTCAAGAGTTTAAAAGCCGAATGGGGTTTTAGATTGTACATCGAGCGCTTTCGGTTTGTCATACTTCGCCCTCCGCCTTTTTCTTCCAGCGAGTTTCAAATTCCTCGCGTTCTTCGTCCCCCTATTCAGTACCTGTTCGTCATTTTCGTTTTCTTCTTCTGCGCGATCGTTTCCCGCGCTTTTCTTCCACTTAAACTTTTCTTCCGTACCCCATTCTTCGCTATGGCAGTCGTTCATCTTCCGGTATCATTTAACGAAGGATGGTTCTCTTTGATGTCAATGAAATTTCGCAGGATCACAAAATTTATATCTATAATAATCATAATTTTAACCGCCTATTCAAATTTGGAAAACCCCATAGTCTGGTATGTTAGGGTAGTGGAAGGTTGCATTCCATAATGATCATGGTGTCATGCCTCAGCATTATTCAGTGAAACACTCTACTACCCAAATGTACTCAACTATATTTTTCCAAATTTTAAACGTATGTTTCTTAAAATTGCCTAGGTTCTGACATCCTACGAAATTTCATAAGAATCTGCATCGTTGACGTCTTGTGCGATTGCGTTGCTTGTCCTGGCGACGACGGGTGCGGTGTGCATCGTATCTGTGCTGGCGGTTTACAATTGTTTCGTTGCGCGCAAAGCTGTCTTGTAATCCGCTTATTGAGTGTCTCCTTTTATTTGCTTCTTTCATGTTTTACGTGTGTCACGATTATTTGTCTCCAACAGAGGGACCCTGTTGCTGTTATTACTCTCTGTCTGTGGATCTATTTATGTGTACAGTGTTTATCGATGTGTAATTCGTGTCTTCGTTGATGTAACGTGGAAAAGGTACAAATGGAAAGATTGAACATTTTATTTTTTATTTTTATAAATGATCAAAGTTTAAATATATCGCTTGCTATTCGAACGTTTTATAAGCTGCGGGATATACACACGCGCAGAAGAGCTAGTTACGATAATTGCGTGAGTTTATTGTTGAAGTTGTAAAGCGTGCTTAGTGATACTAAGAATAATTAGTTAGATTCGATAAGTTTCGAGATAGCAGGATGTAAATGTAGCGATATTATAGTTATTGTAAACATTTTGAAAGCGTAGAAACGAAGAGGTTCAATTATTTGTTGTTTTGAATGATTGTAAGATCAATTGATTGACACATGTTTGTCTTTTTAGCATGCTGTTGACGAGTTTTTCGAACATACAAGTTATACGGCATCGCGTTTCAAATTTATTCAGTTTGTCCGATGGCTGATCATTTTTGCATTTGTTTGAAACAATTATGTGGTAACAAGTTTATGATCTCGATGTTCATTCATACCGTAACAATGACACGCAGAAACATTCAACTAAAAATATACCATTCTAATCCTTCTAACATTCCTTTCTGCTTATTAATGTTTGATGAATGTTATCTCTAATACTCTATCGTAGCATAGGCATACACTGTTTCCCAATTTCTGTACATACAGCTGTTGAAAATATTCTCTACATACAATTATTGTACGTGTTCTTTTAAATCTATTTCAAGTGCTGGACACTCGGAACCTGTTCGCCCGGTTATCCAAACTTGTACGCTCGTAATTGTTTCATGCAGAAACTTCGAGCATTTAGCACGACCAATGTGTTCGAGCAAAATAAAGATACATTGCCGGGACAAAGCATCTCGAAATCGGCCATCGAATCGTTCGTTCCATTGTTTTTTTCCCTTCGAAACTGGGGTCGTGAAAACGATTCGGACCTGTCGTGTCCAATCCCAATCCGTTTCACAATTAATTCACCCAGTGTCCCGTTCGATCGCTTCTATCTTCGAAAAACAAACAAAGTTTCGCCGGCCAACAGTTAGAAACCCTTCTCTCGTGAACACGTCGAACAGACCTCCCCGAAGAATCCACCACGTCTAACACGATACGTGCCCGGGGAACACCTTTTGTCGTTCTGGCAACCTCTAGTCAGAGATACAAGGACTACATAGCAGTGCAATTAACACGTTGACTGCTGCGGAAATCATCTTGAAATTGTATAAAAATTTTCATAAATCATCCAACGTTGAATTGTTATTCGTGCCGTGTAAGGATGGTTTTAGATTAATAGCAGTCAAGGTGTTAAGAATCGTTTGGCCGGCGTTGGGGTGGTAGCACACTCACAATGCTAAAGATGAAGGCGCGTTCGTTGCAGTGATGAACAACTACCAGGCGGCCGCAGCGCAGGCCGGATTTCCGCCGGCGTCGCCGCACGCGGCCGGCGGCCATGGTGGGCCACAGGGCCGATCTTTTCCTGCGGCCAACTCGCCGGGCCCCATCGACATGTATAGTTCAAGTGCCGCAGCCGCAGCAGCAGCTGCAGCCGCTGACTCCGCAGTCGCCAGCTACGTCCAGGCCGCAGCTAGCCCGCAGCCCCCTACGACCGCGTTCCCTGCGATCGCCGTGTCCCGTGCCCCGCTCAACTACAGTCCCGTAAGTCCATTCTACGATCCCCCTTCACACCGTCATAGGTCCAGCAAGCTTGTCGACCGATACGAGTGGTACGAGTCCTCTATTGGTTACGGTTATCAATTTCGGAGATGAAGGATTTGACCTTCGATGAAGAAGAACCGATCAGCACTTGAGTTCTCAGCTCCATTTTATAGTATTTAAAATATTTCTAACTTGAGTAATAAAAATAAAATTATGTAACTTCTTCAGGATACGCAGTCCACCAAACAGGCCGGAGTCTGATCAATGGTTGACTCGTACCACTTGAATTTTAGTTACCTCAGTAGATAAAAGTGTAATAATCCATTTAAAAATGTAATTCTTTCAAGAGAGCGTTCAGAACGGGTAATCGACATTTCTTTTGAAAAACATATAAAATTTTATGTTGTTAATATTGAATTCTTGCAAACTTATTATTATAACTGATTTTTTCTTGGGAAAGTGTAATAGTGATTTTCGTATTCCAAACATTCTCTGAATTCTTTTAAAACATAATTCAGTAATGAAATTGATATCCGAAAGAAAAGTTCTACGGTTTCAAACTACGACGAACAACAAATAAGACACGGGATTTTTAAAAGGAAATAAAAATTACCATTTTGCAGCAGTCGGTTCTGTTACTTGATATCCGTTGAACACTTTCATTTGTTTCCACAATGGAACAGAATTCAAGATTTTAATTAAACTTTTCGTTCGTCGAGGGAGCCAGATCGAACGAAGTACTTTTCCAACAGCTAACCGTACTAACAGCATCGAATTAAACTTGTGTGTGATACTTTTTCCAACCATTAAATGTAACCCAGAAAGATACTGAAATGAGATTGAAAAAAAAAAAAAGAAAACGGAAAGGAGTTGAGAGATTCGAGAGTATGATGCAAGTTTTATTTTCTTACAGTTTTCTAACTTATGTTGCTACAGCTTCGATTGCAAAACAGCTCTGATCGCTGAGCTTCTCAGTTTGCAGATACATTATTAACTTTGCATTTCGTATTTTTTTTCCTTTCTCTTTTTTATATTTTCCTTTCTGATACTTACGGAATTTCAATACCCAACGATGCTAATATCTAGGATCAAGTATCGCAATTGCACGTAGTTTAATCATTATTGGAAAGAAAACCAACGTAGGATATTCAGTAATTTACCTTGTATTCTTTAAATGAAATTGTACAAGAATTTAGATAAAAATCTTTTACCTCATGTTTTAGGGTCCTCTAATACCAGCGGCGTTCACTAATGGCTACCATTGAGCCTTGTTAAGACCTAATAACAGGTACGTAATCAAATTTCCTTACTCTTTATGTCAAATCTATTATCGTTATGTTAAATATCTCATGTTATTAAAAAAAAGTATATGCTTCAATCGCTCGCTATAGGAACCTTATGATATAAAATTCGAACTGTTGTAAAGTATAAGTGAATAGTGTGTAATACTTAAGCACTTTCATCGCTTCTTTCATGTTACTTTAATCAACAGCAGCGAAAAATTGATATAATGTTTCCTGTTGTCTTTTTCTTTCAAATTTAGCGCATTATCTTGCGAATACGGTAATGAAAAATCTTTCATTTCACTTAGTAGCAACGCAAACACGTTCAAACATATTTTCCATCAGTTCACATTTGTAAGTTTCTGTGAAATAATTAATTTCCTATAACGAATTGAAATATTGAAACGCTTTCGTGATACAGGTGAATTTTTATTAATTTTCTTAATTAAAAAAGAACTCGTTGACTGCTGTATCACGCGTGAAAGATGCCTCGATTTCCATAAGAATCCATTTTACATCTTATTAGAAATTCTTTGAATTATCCAATTAGAGATACTCTTGCTAGGTACTTGGAATGATGGATAACAGAAATAATAGATAACATTCCGTATGGCAGTCAACGCGTTAAAAAAACTTAAACGTATCACAACAGAATCTTCCTCTTCGCTTGTCATTCACGTTCCAAGCACTCGAACATTAACACGATCTGCTTGCGCTAAGTTCACAATCATGGCTTTTCTATTATAATCGTATCGCAGTACGTCGTTAACAGAGGCAAATTTTCTTTCCATCAGGATGGACGAGAGGGCAGAGCGCAGCACGGTCGACTGACGGTACAATGAACGATGTATATGCCTTGGACAAATTTTGCACGATGAACGATCTCTGGACAGAAGAGGATGACCATCACGTACCTTACCATCATCGGGCGAAAGGGATCGTGTTTAGGTAGAAGAATAATGGTTTTCATCGGTAGAGCTTGCGGATGCGACCGATCATAGTCAACGATGTAACCGATCAAGAAAAAGTAACACGATCTTCAAACGATTCAAACGACAAAATCAAAGACGAAGGCAGTTTGACAGGGAAAAATGAAAAAAAATAAAAAAAAATAAAAAAATAAAAAATAAAATAGGGAAGCACAAAGAGAAGAGGAGTAAAAGAATAGAAAGAATACGAAGAAGGTAAAAATTGTACATCCGATACGCGTCCAGAAAGCTTGCGAGGTAAACAAAAATGGCGGATAGTGAGAGAGAATGTAAGAGAAATTTCGAAGGGCAGAAGCTGCGTACAGCTAGATACGGCCGAAACTGCGTATTGATGCCCGTTCTCCGACATTAATAAAAAATAATCTAATAATAATGAATTAAATTAATATTATTAATTGCTAAATAATTAAGCGACTAAGTCTAGAATATAAAAATATTATATATAAAATATAAATATATATATATATAAATAATTGATAAAATATTAGACGATAACGTATGATCTTTAGTATTTAAGAGACAGACGAACGCAGAGGAAGAAACACCAACCTACACACGATTATTATGATTACTGGTTATTATATATATATATATATATATATATATATAAAACATTATGAGGATTCTAATGATTAATAACAAAAGCAAAAAACAAACTGATGGATGCAGTGAGTGCGCGATGCAAGTACGAGCGCGTTCACTCAATATACATATATATATATAAATATAAATATAAATATAAATATAAATATAAATATAAATGCAAATATAAATACAAATATAAATATGAATATAAATAATAAAAAAACAATATAATTATTAGACGCGTACACGTTCGCACCCGGGAAGAGAAGGCGAATCTGTCTGAGGATTTTTTAGTTTCTAAGCATGCGTGGAAACGGGGAAGAAGCGTTAGAGATTTTTTCCGAGTAATGTGGCGAGTCGCGAATTGCATGTCGCGAGTCGACTGCAACAGGGGAGTTGAAACCCTGATGTGTAAAGGGCGGTTGGGTGGGATTAGGAGAAGATGATGAGGGCACTATGCATGCCAGAGTGGCTTCGCCCTTTTTTCCACCCCTTTCTTTTCTTCCTTTCTTTTTTGCGCGCGCGCGCGCGCGTGTACGCCACTTGTCAGCGTGCTCTTTGCCGACTGAATGCCGGAATGGCACTTCTTTCTCGCCCCGGCGTCGTCGAACCACTTTTCCCCTTTTTCCCGGGTGCGCAACGTGGAAGTGACGCGAGGAGACGAACGAAGAGGGAGGAGAGCGAGGCTACGCATATAGACGTAGACGGACGCGTGTTGCACGGATGACGCGAAACTGTTTGCATTGCTTGTCGCACGAGGAACAAACAGAAAGACGCGAAACTTCGAGACCAGATCGGCGAAGATCCGTTTGCGATTCGCTTTCGAGACGATACACACGTATGATCGGTGATAAGGAAAGGCAAGCCATGGTCATCGAAACGGAGAGATTTTTAATTAGATTCACAGGGTCGCGAGACGGGGATCGAGCAAGTGTCCCGAGCGTTTTATCGTCGAAAGTCTGGCCTCGTTCGATGCCGAACCGATGACCGTTGAATTTCATCGGCTATTGTATAGCTGTCCAATCGATTACTTGCATTAACCACGGTACATATATACATATTACCCTTACACGAATTATTGTATCATTGATTTACCATAACGGCGTATATGCATGATCCTATGGAGGAGTCAGCCGGATATGACCCGACGTTCATCGACACGCATTTCGTACACGTTCACCGTATAATACAACACCGCCAGACACACGAAAAAAAATCACACGCACGTACACGTGCAACGTGTACATAATACACTGTCACACACGTTTTAGACGCCTAAAACGATCGCACGCTTTCACACGCGTCGGCGGCTTTTTAAACGAATTACCTACACGAACAGGAACAGAGAACACAGAACCGCGGGTGAGGGAACCATAGGTAAACTATGAAGTTACGCGAAACAAGATACATTAAAAGGATAAGGAAAAGTATATTAAATACATACATAATAAATGTGTATGCAATTATTATACCGTGCGTCCGCATATGTACAGAGCGTTAGTTAACGGCGAGATCGCGTATCGCCAATTAAATGCGCCCAGTGCGTGAGTCAAAGCGGAAACGAGAGGAGCACGTTTACAGAAAATAAAAATGAACGGTACTCCGACACGAAGCGAGATTTTGTGCGTCTGTTATCCGGATGTGTGAGAGAACGGGAGGGAGAGAGACATGTGTGTGCGAGAGAAAGAGAAAGAGAGAGAGAGAGAGAGTTTATTTAAGACACATTTAGGATTTACTAAACACCGGTCATCTTAAAATGCCATTTCGCGACAAAACAAATAAAAAAATGGTAAATTTTAAGCGGGGCTAGCGAGGAAAGACGTAGACGTGAGAGAAACATTATATCGTGTAACGTAGCCTTAATCGCGGAACGACTGGACACCAAATTCTTGCGTTCTTTCGCGCTTCGAGTATTCGTTAATTGGACGAGCTAACGGCGAGAATGATTATTCGTCATTGATTTAGGTTTAGCGTACCGTGAAGTTTTTAAATATCGTACGGGAAACAGGGAGTCATGGTCCGTTGCTCTTTCTTGCTAAAAATATTTTTATTAGACTTTGTAGCCGTCGGAGGGCAGTTTCGATTTAGAGACGTCGCGACGCCGGAACCCTCCTGATTCCGGACGAGAACAAGATACCGTCGAAGCGCGTTACCAATCTCGCGTACCGATTCGTACATTTTGTTGATCAATCCCGTTCCCTACGATACTATTATTATTGTTATTCAATTCACCAAGTGAGAATCAACGAGCGATTAATTATAATTACGAAACGACGGTTACACGTGCGACAATTCTAGTACGGTTATTATTGTATTCAACAACAGGGTAAACAAACAAAAAAAAAAAAAGGGATGACCTTTAATTGGGACGCGTGTCACGTCGAACGGCGGCCATTTTGTTTTCCTGTGCGCGGGTGTGCGTGCACGCAAATGAAAAAAAATACCAAAAAGCTAAAAAAAAAAATACTGAAGATGAAATGAACGAATGAAACCGAATAAATAAATGAGTCAATTCTTACGAACGTTAGCAATACATCGTCATGACCATAAAGGATTAAATGGCAAATAATGATCGAAGAACAAAAGAAAATAATATATAACGATTAAATTATAGCGCGAATAAACTATGTACTTTTAAGTTGATGACCCGTACGTGCACGGCGAGTGATCTCGTTCGTTTTGGAAATGTTGAAAGGAAAAGAAAAATGAGAATGAAGAATCACCAACCCCGGATGTGGGAACGAATGGTGGAACGAACTGCGGTCGCGTGTGTTTCCGATGCTGCGATGCCGATTTCTTGCAAGCGAAACAAAATGGTAGCTGCTTCGTTACGCCCCAGAATTAACGGTAAACGCGTGTAAAAAAAAGAAAAAGAAAAATTGTGTACGTATCGGACCAAAGGTTGATACATTGGGGGATAATTCGAGTAACAGGAAAAAAATCGTGTGACGCGATAAAGATTGAATTTCTATTAGTTGATCGTACACCACATAAGCTACTGCTGTTTAAACGAATTAAATTTCTATCTTCTGATCTTTTTTGATATTCAACAATTGCGTGGATTTCATAAGATGAAGGCTACTTTTCAGATGAAATAACAAATGATAAACGCGCAGTCAATTCAGTAGCTTCTTGAAGATCTTTCGTTACGTTCGACGAACTAATGAGTTGGGCAAACCGTGAATAGCCGTGAGAAACGCTTCCAAAACCGCGCTAATTGTTCAAATAGACAAAGAGTTGGATTCAACGCGAAGGAAAATAATAGCCAGGAAACACATAGACGAGGATGTAACACCAGCTCAAAGAACGTAATGTATAATGAAATTCGTCGTACGTAGGATTAAGGGACGCTGACGCGCGAGATCGCAACAGAACAGCAAAATAGAAAACATATGCAGAAAATAGGAACGGAGAAGACAAAGTTTTTAAGTATATAAGTTGTAACTTTTCGCAGTTAGGATGAACGAGGTTTGTTGAAAGAATTCTGAGTTCCTAACGACGATTTCACCTTTCCTTTAATTATTAAAAATAATCATCTCTGTTGAGATTAATAGTTTCGGTTGACGTTGAATGTTATTGTTACAGCGTGAATAATAATCGAATGTGATACATAATGTTTTATAGTTACTTCTCTGCAATTATTTATTCTTGAAATTGCTTGATCGATGCAGAAGATATGGTGACAGGAACTCGGGCGACTTTCAACAAGGAGGATCCTCTGAATCAGAGTTATATATAAATCTATAAATATATATTCGAAAGAGATCTACGATCAATTATTAATTAGAACAAAAAACGAAATAAATGAATACTGCGATCAATATACACGTGAGCTAACGCAAAAGTGAACAAAATAGAAATGAAAAAGTTAAGGGGTGTCGCGAGACTATATAGGGAGGGAAGAGAAAAAGGAGACAAGAGCAAACAAAATATATGCGAGTGCAGTCCACGCGTTTATATTTATAAATATAAAAAAAAAAATACATTAATATTGAAATATTACGTCTATATAAAAAATATACATATTGAATAATTAAAAAAAAGGCAAGAAATATATTACAACTATATAAATATATATATATATAAAATTAATTAAGATAACAAACACACAAAATAAAAAATATGAGGATTATGGAAGATGAACAAATATTATATTGAGACATTGTTTTATGCATTTGTATGTATATATAGTTATTGATGTTTTAAAAGCTAATATACTATTGTACTGAACAATTTTTCGATGATCATCACCGATCGTGAGGGAAAAACTGAGCGGTTAGGGGGTTGTGCAAACCGGGGTGGGTGAGGGTAGAACAAGGGTTGGTACGTAGGTAGGACTCGAAGAAAGAAGGGAAAAAAAGAAATAAAATGCGATCGGGACGAGCTCGTTGTGCGATGCAGTCCAGTCTTCGTTTCCTTCTTTTTGCGATGCTTTTTCGTTTTTTACAAGGGAGACATTTTTTCACCCCCCGACGAATGAATTTCAATAAAGGGGGATAAATACAAAAGTTTTCGAAAGCGTCGCACGCTCATCGACCGAGCTCGATCACTCGTCGCGCAATTTACATGCTCACACTTCCACATTGTACACTTCTAATGGACACACGTACAGACACCATACACTTGTGTATATATATATATGTATACACAAATATAAATATAGATATAAATATGAATATAAATATAAATATACACGCGTATAAGTAATAAGTAATAATTACGATAACCGAAAAAAAAAAATATATATATATATATATATATTAATACAGCGCGGAGAGATTAGGAGAAAGGAAATGGAGGTCATATTGTAAAGAGAGTGCGAGGAAGATGTTAATCAAGTAAGTCATCGATTATTGTCATTCCGTGATTGAACGGTGAAATGAGATTAGAATCACACGAACAAACAGAGATCCCTCACAATGATTAAATAATAATATAAGGTACGACACATACGTATACAAAAAAGACAAGTGAAGATGCAGTAAAAATAGCAGCCATTTAACGATACTTAAAGCACTCGAGGTGCGAGTTAACCAGTCATTTATTCATATTCATTTTGTTGTTGTTGCTCCTTATTGTCACGGATGCAACTCCAAATTGTCGATCCTACGACTTTTCGTAAAGAATAAAGCAATATCGAGTAATAATTTAACGACGAGACCCGTCGCGAGCGATACGACTCGACAAAATCAAGCGCGTTTGAACCGCGGCACGCATCGGAAAGATGTAAAACTATGAGAAAATGATACGAACATAACATTATTTAAAGTTCGATATGTTCACGCTTGAATTCAAACAGCAATAGTCGCGTACAAGGTCTCGTTCATCATTTTTGGAACAATGTTCAGTCTTGTATTAGTGTTAACGATTAAACAGTTCCATGTTTGGAACCGACTAGAGTGGCCCAATCGATTGAAACTTTAGATTTTACGAGCATCGTTTTTAATTCTATCACCATTCGAGTAACACTATTGTATCGCATACATACACACGTGCGCGCACACACAGAAAGACATTTCTCTATTATAAGTTTTCTTACGATACAACGAGAACAATTGTACACTTCACAACCGAGCGAACTCGTCCGAATATTAAGTACAGGATCAAGAACACATCGGTATACGTACACAAATGAAACGGAACGAACGATTAAGAGAAGAGAATTTTCCAAAGAAATCCGAAGAAAAAAAAAAGAAAAATAGGAAAACGAATCAATTTCACTTTCGTCTCACGGATTCGTCGATATCGATCCTTCGATAACTTTCTACGCACCCTCTATTTCTTGACTGCTGATATGTTTCCTAGAACGGCTAGTTTAGCGTATATTCGCTGTGCGACACGAATCTGCGCGTTTCGTTTTTGGTTTCCTCAACTAAAAGCTGACAGGAGCACGCGACGATGCGTTCTATCTTTACGCGGAACAGAGGAAACGCGGACGCGATGCCACGATATTCGAAAAATAAAATTAAAAAGAAAAAAGAAGAAGAAGAAGAAGAAGAAGAAAAAAAGGAATCCCCGTCGCTCTGTGCGCCATTTGAATGGATCGAGAGCGAGAGAAATTGAGAGTAAAAGAGCATTAGAGAACGAGAGAGAGGGAGTGAGTGGAATGAACTCGCAGAAGTCCGTAGATAGATAGACAATTTTTCGAAACAACGTTTTCGTGCGTACGAGAAGATCGTCGTTGCGACCCTGCACCTGATGTCTGAGCGCTTTTCTCTTCGAGGGTGGCTAGAATTTGCTGGTACTACCTTTTCGGTGTTTCGATGAATTTTTAGCTGTTTCTAACGGCCTTGCGAATTGGCGGCACAGAAAGAAAAGCGCTCGAACGTGGTGTACGATTCGATCGATCCAGTTTCGAGTCAGTTGTAATATAATTGATCGATCGTGATCGTTATTTCATGTGGTACGTCGCAGCTATGTTTTATAGGGTGAACTTATCCTACCTAGGAGTTATTTTTATTCACGCGTCACGGGAACACGTGGGCTACCAGAGCTCGTTTATTATCATTATTACAAATGGTTATTATTGATATTATTCTATTTTTTGTTTTCTCTTTTCTGTTGCTCTATATTATAACGATTATTATAGTTATTATCGTGGATCATTATTATTACGAGTTATCGTCGGCTAGTATTATTGTAATCTCGTCCTTCTGCCATTTTTCCATTTGTCACAATGCAATAACCTGCTGTGTTACAAATACAATCCGTCGTTGTATTTGAGGTGATCGTTTCGTTTCTTCAGGTTTCTAAACGCGACACGAGGATATCGTGTTGGCTCGTCCAAAAAAACAAAAAAATGAATGCCAATGAGAGTAATTCTGTTGCCAGTGTTAAAATATGCAGAGCCATCGAATAAGAATAAATAGAATTTTAAGTAGAAGCATCGTGATTTACATTACACTCGGTTTTAGACAATTAAAATGGACGGTCCGTACTCGATTTCTTCGTGCTGCAGCTTAACGAAATGTGAACATAACCCCATACATATATGTATATATTATATACATATTATATACGTAAGCGCACGCAAAGCATAAACATTATGATAAGTATATAATCATGTAATTATACGTGCACACGTTTGAACGAACAGACACACTGTAATCTGTTAAATATTCTTCCTGCGTGCAGAAATGGGTCAAATAGCCACGAGCTTCGATGAAGTTTCGCTTTAAACATCGTCTAGCGAAGTTTTTGCTCTTTCCATTTTAATATCTGTACCAAATTTTCAATCGATCGAACTTGAATTTTATCAATCTTAAATATCAGTAAAAATGTTTCAATTCAAATTGGTTATTATTTTTAACATTTCATTGTTGGCGTGTTAGATTTTTTACATGGGTCAGTCGAATCGCTTACCGAACAAGCAATTTCAATAATACTAAATTTGTAATTTTCTTCCTACTATTTCTACATTTTTCGCGTCTTATCGCGTTCATTTACAAAACGATCACACGATGTTCCTCGGTGATATTCTTCGTACAAGCCATTATGTCATCGTTCCAGTTTTATTGCAAATGTTCGGTACCTGTTCGTGCAACTCGTAAAATAAAACTCGATAGCGACTGTTAGGTAAACGCTTCGTATCCCTTTCTCGATCGCTTTTCGGTTCAATTCGCCGTCCCATCGTGAGTATGTTCAAATCGGTCAAGCAAAAGTTGTTACGTTTCTAGAACGGTGATACCGGTCGACAGATAACACGGTAATTGTCATCGAAATTGCGAATCCTCGAGAACCTCTTATCAATGGTGGCAAGTGATAAGGGAAACGATTCTTTCGTTTTTCTTGTTTGCGTTCCGATTCTTCGCAAATCGAGATCTAAAAATTCTTCGCTATCAGATCTAAAAATCGTTTCGTAGCTTAGCGTTTCTGTTCATTTTTCATCGAATAATCTAATTATCGAAGCTGCGTTAATTTGATTAAATACACTAACTATCGTGCACTCGAGCATACCGATACACAGGCACATCTTCATTCGTCCTTTCTGTAAAGTCTGTGAACCAAGTCTGAAAAGAAACTTTCGTTGATTCGAAACTTTTAGAGACGTTCGCTTTCTACTGTTCGTAGTGGTCCTTACCTTTTGTGATAATATGTTTCGTTGTTGTCGCGAGGAATAACCGGGAACACCGAGTGTTCTGTTTTACACAACGTTTTACGAATTCCGGGGGTTGCGGTTATTTGTGTTTTGTAACACGGAGTACGAAGAAAGGGTTTTTTAAAATATCTTTTACGACACCTCGCGAGACACCCAAGCAAAGGCGGCAAAGCGTGAAAGAACGAAGGGAAGCTCGGCGGTATGGTACAGCTTGCAATGAGGAAACTTGCAATATAACAAGCAATAAATAAATCACTTTTCATTCTATGTATATTAAACAATTATGTGGATGCTTAAACGAGATTTATTGAATTAAACGTGCAAAGCCATGGAGTTAAGACGAGATACCGATTTTACATATTCTTACTAATCGTATAAACGACTACAATACGTATAGCAACATAATAAATTATACGATTATGTATCGATTGAGGGAAAAAAATGAGCAGATAAAAAAAATGGTAAATAAGTAATTATTAACAAACAAAAAAAAAAAAAATGATAAAAAAGTGGGAGAAGATGAACGGCTGCGGGCGAGTCATCGCCGGCAGACGTTAATGTCTAATCTGCATAAGTACGTAAAGGTTTCAATTTTACACTACCGATAATAATGATGTAACGGTAAGGCTCTATATAAGATATAATGATAATTTATAATAATTATAACGTTGTACAGAATATTTATGAAAGGCGCGCTGCTGGCGAAAGAGCCGCGCGTTTTCGTGTCGCGAACGCGAAACGGAAGGTGAGAAATAATGAAAAGACGTACGAACAAATGAATAGAGAAATAAGAGAGTGTGTTTGCCTATCGCGTAATCAATAAATTGTTTAAATTAATCGTGATTCGAAATTGTCAAAGAAACAAAGAATTTTCATTGCAACCTTGGCTCAGCAAGCAACGCGCGACTCTCTATCCAAAAGCCGCCAGACTATAATGGATGTTTTGTAAGATAAAGCAAAACGATCACGGATTGTACCGAGATCGCGTTCAGAGAAATGTATAGTCGATTGCGTATTCGAGATTGTTCGAATTAACTCGACGACGCCTTTCTCGATGGAGGTAAACAAAAAAAAAGTGAGAAAAGTAACAAAAAAAAAAGAGGAGATAAGGAAGGATATGAAAATCGTGGCTCTTTTCTTCCGCGAATATGTTCGAGCGTAGTGAACAGATGCGCCGTCGAAGGACGAAATTGCGGTCCTTGAGTCAAAACCGGGAGGCAGGAGATAACAAAATGATTAAAAAAAAGAAAAACAAAAAAAAGATAACAAGCGAAACAAAAAAAGATAGAAAGTGAGAGAATTTATTCGCCGCGTGTGTGTGTGGCGTAAGAAAGGGCCGATAATCTAATTCATTGTGTATGTATACAGACAGAAATAAATATAATATTGCGATTATAAATATTAAACTAATAAAGAATAACAATATTGTACCCCTCTGTACATATAAATATATATTATAATACGATGATTATTACTATATGATTTATTATAAATATATATATACATAAATATAAATATATCTCATGAATTCACATTATTATGTTTATTATTGTTTACTTATTATTATTAAAATTATTATCATTGCGATGATAACGAGAATGACGATGATTATTATTATTATTATGATAATATTATTAATATTTAAGAAAAGGTTCACAACGTGCCGTGTGTATGTGGGAATAAAATATATAATATAATGGACATTGTTCAATTCAATCTAATGTCTTTGTTTTCTTCATTTTCCTTTATACTGATACTCTCGAAATAATACATCATACTATTTTTACTTGATAAATAAAACTACAAATACATTACTGAATTTTACCAAAAATAAATACATTAAGTACAATATAATTTATAAAAGAAAAGAAAAGTTTCTTTAGTTGTACCAGAACTATAGATTCAATAAGGCTAGATATGTCCTTTGTTATGAAGAGATTTTGAATTTGTGCCACCAGAACGAGCTCCATCTGCTTTATCCCAGTATAAAAATGTGATCACGCCAAAGATGGGTGACCGTGTGCTGTTGGCAACCGAAGAAAGGCGAAATATGGGACGAATAATGAAACGAAGACGGCAACGCAATGTAAAAGAAAAAGTAATGCAAAATAATTGACAAAAAGTTCGTTGGACAAAAGAGGGGCTAAAAAGCCTCTACAAAGTGCCATTTTGGGAAGAAATACCCCGGATAAACCGATAAGCAGTAAGCAAAGGTGATTTTCCTACGATAGATAAAACAGTATCGAATAAATGTCTAAGGGTTGAATCATATTGCTACAGATGGAGTGAACTTGAACTTGCAATCGGTAACCGTTCCCTCGGATAAAGCAGAACAACAACCCTTTGTTTTTAGTTTTTACCCTTTCAAGATACAAAAAATTATTATCATCTTTTATTCTTCAATTTCATAATTTTCATCATTAATAATTCATTCATATATCTGATTTTCTAGAAACTGGTTTCTTCGTTGGATATTTAGATAAACTCTTGATTTGCTGATTGTCATTTATGGTAATGGCAAGAATCCTAACCAGAGATTATAATTGTTAATTCGTTAAATGACCCGAAATATTCTACAGGAGAATCAGTGCAACTGTGTTGTTCCGTTGGCGTTTCACAACTTCAAACTTTTGCTCGAGATTCATTTTATCTCCTTGATCAGCAACCTTTTATTCTTCCTTCAGAAAAATCAAACTTTAAAACCTTCTTCTCTATACAATTACATCAAATTAAACGAAGTTAATAAAATCAGTTTATTTGGGAAAATTTATATGTTCGAATCAATTTGTCGAAATCACTCGAGTGTATCCATATCAGAAAAGAATGAAACAGAGAAGAAACGAGATATAAATTTTACACCGGAATTGAATTAATAATCAGCGTATATTTAACGTGTAAAATTTTCGTATTTATCACTTATGGTTAATTCGACGATACTTGATTCCGTTAACTGTACGGACAGAGAGGCAAATACAGGGGGCTTCCGGTTACACGCGAAACCGCGTCACATCAAAGGATGAAATGCGAATATTTGGAATGGCAACGGCCAAGTTTAAACATTGGCCAGTCTTTTCGTGGTTAAATTCTATCTCACGAACGTCTGTTAAACCATCATGTCGCCAGCAATTAATCCATATTATAGTTGTTGCCAAATGTAAATGAAGTTTTCCTTCGAGTGCCAGTGTAACCTACCCATCGCAAATACATAGTGATAATTTAAATCTAATTTGAACATTGTTTATGCATCTTACGGTATTCTAAATATCATGAAAATTCGCGTATTTCCGGGAGAAAGTTCTCCGGAAGAATATGCAAAGTTCTCGAATTCCAAGAATCAAAAGCGATCGTTCCGTGTACGGGCCACGAACGCAATAAACGGGAATTTCTATTTCGCGGTGAAAGGTATTCCGCAGCTAAAGGAAATTTCATTTTTCACGACCGCCAGTTAATATAACGTAATTGATTAAGTCGAGTTCCCGCTTCGATTACGTGCCGCATGGATTTCAAGGTATTCATCCTTGGTGAATTCCTCATAGCTACGCGAAATATTCTCTCGTGCCCGTCCGCGCCTGTTTATTCGCAATTTACCATGCTAAGGTAGAAACGGTGGCACGAGTTTATCGTGCAATTTTCTATTCCTTTATTTTTCCCATCCCTCCCCCACGCCATTCCCCAGTCTTCACTCAGTCCGTTCATTCTTTTTTCGCGCATCCTCCGTAGCCATCCGTTCGTCACCCTCCATTATTTACTACTTCGAAACGTCGAAGACGCTTCTTTCCGCTTCACTGTGCCCGAAAAATTTCATCCCCTTCAATCTTACCCTCCGGCTTCTTTTGTTCATAAGCGTTCGACGAATCCGTGCGCCACGGAAAAATGCACGGGAACGAATCGAAGCGAAACTTTCTTCTTTTCGATCGTTCATTATCAATCGAACGACCCGTTCCACTTTGCTGTCCCTTCTTGGATTCACGATTGCTTCGCATCGTTTGTATCTGGAGGATGCAATTAAAAATACTTAAAATCTTTCAAATACAAAATCATTCTATGCACTCGTAAATGTTATTCCTTCAAATATGTATATATGTATCTATATAGAATTTGTTATTCGAATTACAAGAATTCATCAAGATTAAAACAATGCGTCCAGTTTTCACCGAGCACAAATTTGGCGAAGCATCCCCAACGAAATTCCTCCGCCTATTTTCCCAACAGTCCACAATGGCGCATTGTTAACGCGTCAATTACAAATTCCTCGAATTCATTCGATACCAAACAACTTTTTAATGTACCCTCAACGTGTGTTTCACCCCGGGATGATCGTGCAGAGCCACAAAATATCAGAGGTATAGAAATATTTTTATCCTCTATAGAATCGTTGAAGTTTAGAGATTCGGTTTTAATATAAGTTTCAGGAAGGCATAGACGACAGTGTTCGAAGAAAGAGGAGAAAAATCTCAGCACGTCAGCCTGAGCGTATCCGACGCACTCCAGCGAAGAAGGGATTGAGAAGGCAGCGGGGGATGGTGGCTTTGTCGCAACGTCGGCTGACATGTCGAACTTATGAAAATTAATAAGAAAAATTGCCCATAAATTCGAGGTCTCGTTCGTGAGGTAGCTCGGCAAGCCGCATCTTGGCTTGGCAATAAAATTAGAATTATGTCGCCGTTCCCAACCACCCTTATATGGCGGTGGTTCGACGTAAAGTAGGCAGACAGTGCATGCCGAGGGCTTGGCAGCGTTTGTTAGAGACGCTGGAATGTGTCTTCCGGTTGGTAACGTATGAGTTACCCCGCCAAGATTACATCCATGTCTTACACGAAGCTACCCCCGCGTCATAACCTATGGTTATTAAATTCTGTGCCTCGTCTTGCGAACACCCCTACCGAAACGGCAAGCTCTCAGGGTGCTCGATTTTGCTTCGCAAACTTGACTTATCGTCCAGGCATCTCTCGGCGAAGAACGCCGGAGAGCGATGGCGGTTTCGCCGTGGGGGTAAAGCGTTTCCATGAATCTTTGAAGGGGTGCGAGTGTTTGCTTTCAAAGCGGGCTACTCCTCGGACCATCGCGATCCCGGAATTGCGTTTAGCGACTCGTTAGGGGACCGTCGAAGTTGAAGAACATCCGCGATGAAGCAATTCATAATTACTGAGGGCGGGTGAAAAAGTGGACGAAGGGACGGTCGTTGCTTTCCCTGGTTAGTAAAGTGGGACGTTTAGCCTCTGAACTGTGAACGGCTGTCTTATCAGCTGTCCAATTTATTCTTTATGCTCCCAGATTTTGGTTTCATACATTTTTTGTTAAGATTTCAACATTCTTTCCATCGTTTCAAAATGAAGACGAATTGTTTGCCGCGTAAATCCGATGTAACGATTCGTGTTTCGACCTCGATGTCCTTTTTGTCGATTCCGTTGTTGGCCGTTTCGTTAACCGAAACGTCATTCCGGATAGGAATCACGTGCAATGGCGATCTCGATGACAAAAATCCATATGTCGGCTTATGCGGTCCAGTGTCGTGTATCAGCTGACCACAGACATCCAGCCGGTACGCGTACATATAATGATAACAGTGGTCGAATCTGTTCGAGCATCGAATCGTTGACGGGCTGCCAATTGTGAAACGGCAATTTAGCCGTGAAACACCGGGAGACGAGATCGCGGTTATATTCGGCCACAGATCCTACCCAAATTCTCTTCGGCCACTTAACCCCCGCGGGGTTGCAGCCACGATGACAGAAACGGTAAAACAAAAACAAAACAGAGAAAAAAAAATATTTGTGTCAACGCTCGTGTCCCGATCGAAGCGAAACGACCTTTATATTTGATGCTTCAATCGTATTTTTTTACCAACGGCTTCGCTGTGTCTCTGTTGTTTCTTCTATCGTTCGTTTTGAGCGTTGTTCCAGACGAACATTGGTTCGTGTGATTTTTTACTTTGATTAAACCGATATCTGAAAGGAATTTAAACGTCGATTTATCAAAAAGTTAGAAAATTATCCGTGTTGCAAATATCCTATTCTCGGAAAGTTATACACATTTCGTCGAAATATCGTAATTGTATTCACCCTCTTAAAGAAAATCGTAGAACATCTCGTATTCACT